AGATGGCAGTGAGGTTTTTTTTTTTTCTTCCCCCACAGTAATCTGGTGGGAGTTACAAAGTCTACAACTAGAAAAGCCATATCAAGTAATTCACTGCACCACAGTATTATATATACTAATTATGTATAAATTCTATATTGCCTAACTTAATTTATTGAGCAATTGTATTAATCTGCCTTCCATATCTCATCTGAAAATCAGAGACAAAACCAGTTGCTTTCCAAAGCTATTCCTATTGCTAACATTCTAACGTTGTTTTTGTATACTTCAGTGTGATATGTAAATTAAAGTCCATGGCATTTAAATGAAAATAAAATTTTCTGTATTCACAAGTAGAATGAGAAAGAATATGGTTTGTAATATATATCTACTTCGCAAAAGCCTGCAAAAGCCAAGAGAAAACAAAATGAATATGCATTACTTCTGAGAAATGCCCTTTTCTGTTTTCTTGGTTTCACAATTCCTATGCAGTGTGTAGTATAACACAGCAATTTTCTTGCTGGTAACAGGAAAGAGAAACAGATTGTATATCTGTACAGCCAACTGACCTACAGGGATAGAACTCAGGAGACTCAAGACGTATGAGTGAAGAGAAAGAGTAAACATCAGTGGTTTTTCCAACCAGTAATGGAAATGAGAGAGCTCTGGTGGCGTAGTACCTAAGGCATTTGACTACTAACCAGAAGGCTGGTGGTTCAAACCCACCAGACACTCCTCAGAAGGAAGACTGGCCAATCTACTTCTGTAGACATATCACCTCAGAAACCCAAGGAGGGCTCACTATGAGTTAAAAATTACTCTATAACAGTGAGTTTGGTTTTTGATTTTGAATGAAGGCAGATACTAAAAGGTGCAAATAGCAGTAGCCCAGGGTCAAGACCAAAAACATGGCTCAACTACCTGTCAGGGTTTCACAGATACCTCAAGTGTGATTCATCATGACAGTAAAAAGCCTTTTCTGAGAGCATTCAGGGGCCCATTCTTGCTGCTACATTCACATCTGAAAAGCAAAATGCAAACATACTGACTTAGGAGGTAAAGAATCATCTAAGATCAAGTTTTATTTTAAAGAGGAATTTGGCCTCCGCTTAGCTTAGCAACATCCCCACGCACTAACCCACCTCACCATCATTCATGAAGCCTTAAAGGAAATCAACCACATAGGTCAAAACCTGGCTGCCAAATGCACTAATCTTTCTTTTTCTCCTCTTCTTTGGCAGTTTGACAAGATCCTTATTAAAAGGTGTTGGAGGAACCACAAATGTTTACTCCTCTACTTCATTCCCAGCTTTGACTCTTATGAGTTCTATCCCTGCCAGAGCCTCTGTTCACTGTTAAAACTTTCCCTGTGGGCACAGTCACTAATAATCATAAGGCTAAGGGATGGCCAGTGGCTACACTTCACAACTCAGCTTGCAATGGGTAATTTAAGAATGTTTTCTGTGCAGATAGTTGCAGCTCATTCCTTCTAAAGACAAATGTAGATTTTTTCCTACCCCTAACCCATTGCTGTCGAGTTGATTCTGACTCTTGCAACCCTGTAGGACAAGTAGAACTGCCCCAGATGGGGCAATCTACTTCCGTAGTGATACTGCCTCAGAAACCCAAGGAGGGGTCGCTATGAGTCGGGTCCTACTCAACGGCACATAACAACAACAACAAAGGATTTCCAAGGCCATAAATCTTTAAGGAAGCTGACTGGCACCTCTTTCTCCCTGGGAGTGGCTAGTGGATTTGAATCACTGACCTTTTGGTTAGCAGCTGAGTGTGAAGTGCCATCAGAGCTCCATTTGTTTCCTAGTTGTCTAAAATTATTCAAATCAAAATAAATTCATGTTGTGGGAGAAATGGCAGACTCATGTTAAAGGCACTTGCCAGCAAGACCCATTTGTTTCATTCAATATTTAACAAGTATCTTTTCAGCACCTACTATGAGCCTAGAAGTATCTGTGCACTGAAGATACAGCAAGAAAACTCTATTCCTGTCTCATGGAACTTATCCAGAAAAAAAAAGGAAACACTAGGTCAAATCAAAATGACTTAAGAGAAATCTATGTGAAAGTCTTCATTTATATTAAGAACGGCTAAATGAACCCAAAGCATACAAAATTTTACTGACTGAAAGAAGGTTCCAGTAAAATACCATTCTTGTATCTAAGTTAACACCTGAAACTAGGAAACCAGACATTAGCATTTTTTTTCATCTTTTTAATTTTCTCCTGAGGAAAAAAAATAAAAATAAAATCCTACTTCCAAGCCTGGAAACTGATGGGATATTTTTAATACTTAACACAGCAGAGAACAATAAATAGGTTTTCTGCTTTCAAATAAGTGAAACATTGAGGCACAGAACATTTCCGTCATATCACTTTCACAACTATAAGAATGAACAGAAATGACAGTTCCCCCTTAAGTTTCATGTTCATTGTTTCCTTATTTTAATTATCATTACGTATTTAAATTATATATCCTTTAATTAAGTGTCATCATGGAATGTCGTAATTTTATAATCCAAGATATTAAGGTGTTTATTTTGTACACTACCTTCACACTTAGGATTTTATATGATCTGTCAAGAATTCAAAAAAAAAAAAAAAACCCAGAATGTTCCATTTCATTTTTGACTTCTAGTTTTCCTAGATTCATGCTTTGTACATTCCATGTTCCAATTATTAACTGATATTTGCAGCTGTTCCTACACATTTTGAGTTGTGCCACATCATCCAATGGAGGTCTTGAAAGCTCTACTCCATCCATATCATTAAAATCATCGCTACTCTGAGGGGTCATCTCTTCCCCAGTCATATTTTGAGTGCCTTCCAGCCTGATGGTTTCATCTTCTGGTCCTATATCGGACAGTGTTTCAGGTCTGTTCATAAAGTTTTCCAGTAATATATCAGACCGTGTTTCACTGCTATTCATAAGGTTTTTACTGGCCAGTTCTTTGAGAAGTGGATGGCCTTTTCCTTCTTCCTAGTCTGTGTTAGTCTGGAAGCTTTGTTGAAACCTATCCACCATGGATAACCCTGCTGACATTTTGCAACACCGGTGGCATAGCCTCCAGCCTCACAGCAACAAGCAAGCCACCACAGGAGGACAAACTGAGAGACAAGTTTGTCTCCCTTAGTTGTTCCCAACCTCTCTACTCACTTCCCCACCTGCCCGCCTGCCCACTTACGTGCCTGTGAGCCTAGCCTTGGATAATGCCACCCCCAGAAAGGCCCAAGCTGCACACCCACCTGCCCACCTACCTGCCCAGAGACCCGGCCTTGTCTATGTCTATGTCTTAGACATAGAGTTGTAGCAAATATATATAAACTGTACTAATCCCAGAAGATCCATTTGAGTTTTATATAGAAACATCCTCTCATACCTTACTTAACCCTGTGTAACATATCAACTCTTTTTGTCTGATTTTAAAATACCTGTCAGGTTACTTTTATTTTCTTTTACCACGTCACACAGGCTAACAGTTCTACCAATAAATCTTACTCATTCCTAATTTTTAGGCTTTGTTGGAGAAATTGTCTCACAGAAAAAGTTGTCCTCCCATCCACTCTATCTAACCCATCTCCTAAGGCATTCACTGCTTCCAGAAATTTGGCACTACACACACCCTAATGTTACATTTTCCATGAGTGCGTATTTCACCTTCCATAAAACCTTTAGTTGCTCAAGAGCAAGAGACCTGTGAAATTGAGGTTCAAGATGCCAAGAGCCCTGTTTCTTAAGCATTTATCTTTCCATAAGACCTCTCAAGGGAGTAGGGGAAGAAAAGCAATTTACATTCAGCAGTGCAGTGACCAAACCATCTTTGTGATTTTGAAGACTAGCAGACCGTGAGAGAATTTAATCAAATACACTTAAGCAAGGAAAACTCAAGTAGTATCCTTTAAAATGCCCGATTAATGTCAAATATTCAGTAAAGATTCTGGTAGTCTGGACAACCTGGAGTGCAACAGCACAAAACTGGGGCTTCGGATGGTGCTAGTTCCACAGAGACCCGCGCCCCGGGTTTCTATTTTTAGGCTAGTGTGCTTTGTTGTTCAAAAATGTTTCCCCGGAAAAGGAACAACGATAACGATTACTGTACCAGCTCAAGTTTCCTATTCGCCCTTCCGGAGCAGGGCGGTAACACTGTTTACCCAGCTGAATCGCTAGGGCGCTCCCTAATTGAACTGGAGAGGGTGTAGCCAAGAGAACAGTTACTCCCCCATTTGGGAGAATATGACAGCCACCTGCTACAATCTCTTGATAGGTCTGGCTCCAGGCCCTTAGGTTTCCGCGGGTGCTCGCCTGAATTCCTGAGCGCAGACTCCCCGCCTTCCAAACCTCTGATTGGACCCACTCAGCTCCATTACCGTAAGTCACTTCCGCCCCGGACGTAGTCTAGGCCGCTCCCTTCTGCTATTTCGTGTTGTCACTTTGTGAATCTGGGGATTGTTGCGTTGGCTAACCAGACTCAGAGCGGCTTCTCTGCCCTTCAGGCTTTCAGTCTTCAGTCTTCCGACTGATCTCCGAGGAAATGCCGTCTTCCGCGCGGTGCAAATCGCCTGCCTGCCGCCGCGAAAGTCTCTTTTCTTTCTGGTGCTTCTTTCTGTTAACTCTATTGCTCCTACCGATTATACACACAGGTAAGCCGCGCGGCGGGAAAAAGAGGAATCGGAATACTTCCGTAGATTTACAGCCTTGGAAACCGATGGGGCAATTCTACTGAGCCCTACAGGGTTGCTATGAGTCTGAGTCGCCTAATGGCAAGTGGGTTTGGTTTCAGTAAGACTTGCGAGAGTCTGCACGCGGACTGTGAGCCTGGAGCAAGCTGGGGAGCGGACACACCACAGCTAAGGGCGAGGGAAACTTTAATTGGTGGGCGGGCCTGGAAGCGCGGGAGTAGATTGATCCAGGGTCAAGCTGTGTTGCTGTGTAGGGCGCCACCAGCGTTCTTCTGGGGCCGCCTGTGCTTGATGATTACGGGTTGGCACCACTCCTGGGCCGCGGCAATGGTTTTAAAGCTGCAGTGCTGTGTCTACTACAGCGGTGTAGGTGAGCCTTCCATATCGCTGCTTCTTGTTGGGGTGGCAAGGAGGCACAGTCGCTGTTTACCAGATCCTAGCTGTGCCTCTAGCAAAAGCTTGCAGCCATGCGAGCCATGGCTGGGACACAACCATGTCGAGAATGGTACGTCGAAAAGTCACGTCGGTGGGGTGGTTCTGGGTAAGGGCTTGCTCAGAGGTTACTTGATGAGTGGAACGTCCTTGCAGTACCCGCGGTGAGGGCTCATTTTCCTGTGCTGGAGGAGCCCTACTCGGCAGTACTGAGGGTGCAGCAAGGAAGCCCACCTTTTGAATTGTTTGGGTGGGCGCGGGTTCTGGGGCTAGAGAGGGCACATTGTACTTAAGGTGAGAGCAGGCATTGGATCCCTAGGTTTAAAAGAATGGAAAGGAAGCTCCTAGCTTTTTTGAATCGTCTGGGTACAGGGTCCTTGTTGCTGGTGACCATGTTGGTCCACAGCAGAGGAGTGCTCTAGTTTTACAGATTGTTGCCCTAGCCCCTTGGTCGTAGAGTTACCTTCCTGCTCTCATCTAATATAGACAGTATCCAGGTCTATTACCTAAAGGTTTTTTGGCATTGTTTTCCTTCTGTTCATTAGGCTGTGTCACGTTTGAGGGCATATTTGCAACCTTTGGCTACACTGATAGCCAAACCTAGTGAAAAATTCATATCCCCAAAAAAATGATAAATTTAATCTAGTGTTCTCTTCAGCTCATAAACTAAAACTGAAGACCTATCCCAGTAAACTTGTTTTATATTTCATTAAATGGAATAAGTACTTAAGAAATGTTTAAAAATATATATATATATATACGTGTGTGTGTGTGTGTGTATATATATATATATATATATATACACTTATTGTATAAAATTGACACAAAGGACAACCATTTTTTAATATTTTGGTTTATGCACATATATTTCTATGCCCAAGTTATATTTAGGATCCTCTTACATATGCAGAGTCCCTGGGTGGTACAAATGGTCAAATGCATTAGGCTGCTAACTGAAAGGTTGAAAGAAAGGCCTGGCCATCTGCTTCTGAAAAATCAGTCATTGAAAACCCCATGGCACACAGTTCTACCCTAACACTCATGGGGTCATCATGAGTCAGAATCCACTTGACAGCAACTGGCTATTCATAAATAGTTTGTATGCTGCATTTCTTAACACCACTCATCCAACAAATAAGTATTTGTTTGCCTTCTATGAGCCACGTACATAGGAACCTGTTCGTAGACCAAGAGTCAGTCATTCAAACAGAACAAGGGGATATTGAATGGTTTCAGATCAGGAAAGGTGCATGTCAGGGCTCTATGCTGAGCAGATAATCTGAGAAGCTGGACTACATGAGGAAGAATGTGGCATCAGGTTTGGAGGAAGACTCATTAACAACCTGCAATATGCAAATAACACAGCCTTACTTCCTGAAAATGAAGGCTTGAAGCACTTAATGAGGAAGATCAAAGACTACAGCCTTCAGTATAGATTACACCTCAACATAAAACAAAAATCCTTACAACTAGGGTGTGGAGAAATTAGAACTCTCATACACTGCTGGTGGGACTGTAAAATGATACAGCCACTGTGGAAAATGTTATAACGTTCCGTTAAAAAACTGAAAACAGAAAAACCATTTGATCCAGCAATTCCATTACTAGGAATATAGCATGAAGAGGTGAGATCCAGGACATGAATAGACATATGTACACCCATGTTCATTGCAGCACAATTCACTGTAGCAAAGAGATGGAAACAACCTAAGTAGCCATCACAGCAGATGAATGGATATCCAAACTATGGTATATTCACACAATGGAATACTACACAACATTAAAAAATAATGAAGAATCCACAAATCACCTAATAAAGTGGATGCATTTGGAGGACATTATGCTGAGTGAAATAAGTCAGTCATAGAAGGACTAATATTGTATGAGTCCATTACTGTAAAAAGTCAAGGAAAGATTTTTGAAGGAAAGAAATTTACTCTGTTGGTTACTAGGGATGGAACCACTCCTCAGAAGGAAAATTGGGCTATCTACTTCCATAGTGATACCGACTCGGAAACCCAAGGAGCGGTCGCTCTGAGTTGGATCTGACTCGAAGGCATTGAGAGTGGTTTTTTGGTTTAGGGATGGAAGGTAAGGGGAGGGAAAATTTCTGACTAGGTAAGAGTCACTTGTTGATTTGGGTGAAGGGAAAGGCAACATAACAAAAGTGTGTGACAAGCACAATGACAACAAGGAAAAGGAGGACAAGAAATGTACACAAAAGATACAGATAACAGCAGCAAATACTATTACGTGTGCAATACCACACTACCAGTGGCAGCAAACACTAGGCTATGGGTAAATGTATAGACAGGTGAGAAGATCAGATGGGGGTAGGCAAACAGGAATATACCAAGACCAAGGATATATTTGCTGAAGATAGTCTTCCGTATATACTCGTGCTACAAAAATATCCATATACAGTACAGAAATAACAGGGGACAAGGTTGGAGTAGCCTCTCAGAGATAACTAAACACCTTGAGGAAGAGAGTCACTGGGGCTGCAGGCTCAGGACCACAGTCTCAGGGGATATCCTGCTCATTTGGCACAACATAGTACATAAAAATCTTGTTCTACATCCTACTTTGGTGAGTAGCAACTGGGGTCTTAAAAGCTATTGAGCTGCCATCTAAGATGGAGTAATGCCTAAGCATTTGACTGCTTACCAGAAGGTTGTCTGTTCAAATCCACCAGCACTCCGCAGAAGGAAGACTGGGAAGTCTACTTCTGTAAAGATTTGCCACCTTGGAAACCCAAAGGGGGTTGCTGTGAGTCAGAATTGACTCGTTGGCAGTGAGTTTGGTTTGAGTTTTTTCATCTGGAACAAAGAAGAGCAAAAAAAAAAAGTCATTTGGAAACAATAAGTCCAAGGATTGATGGACCATGGGGACCTCAGCCTACACGACCCTGAGACCAGAAGAACTAGAAGATACTTGGCTACCAATGCCAACCACTTGGAAAGGGATCAAAATTAGAGATCCTGAATAGAGTGGGAGGAAAAATGTGGAACAAAATTCAAAAACACAAAAATGACCAGAATTACTGGTCTGATAGAGGCCAGTGGAATGCCTAAGACTATGGCCTCAGGTTATCCTTTGGGCCTGGAACTGGACTCACTCGCATGGATTAACTCTCAACCAAACAGTAGAAAGGCCTACATGCAGAACACCTACCCCAGGGAGATGGCACCCATCTAGAAGATGCATCTGCTAGATCAATCAACCATGAGACATCAGAAAGGCAGCACTTGCACAGTGGGAAAGCTGGACAGACAGGAATGCAGAGATAAGAAAGGCACAGGGAAGGGGCAGTCACAGGGAGGAGGTGGGAGGAGAGCTTTTTATGGCTGGGGATTGTAGTGGGGCATGAAATCAAATGTGCATAAACTGTTAAGTGTAAAACAAATCTGCTTTGTAAATTTGCACCCAAATCACAATAAACTAAAAAAAAAAATCAGCTTCACAACTAGATCAATAAGGAACATTGCGTTAAGTGGAGAAAAAATTGAAGCTGTTACAGATTTCATTTTACTTGGATCCATAATCAATGCCCAGGGAAGCAGTACTCAAGAAATCAAACAAGGCATTGCACTGGGCAAATCTGCTGCAAAGGATCTCTTTAAAGTGTTAAAGAGCAAAGATATCACTTTGAATACTAAGGTGCACCTGACCCAAAAACAGAAAACCAAACTCACTGCTGTTGAGTTGATTGACTCATAGCAACCCCTCCTTAGGTTTCTGAGGTAGTATCTCTTCAGAAGTAGATTATCCATCTTCCTTCTGAGCAGTGGCTGGTGAGTTTGAACCTCCAGCCTTCTGGTTTGCAGTCACATGCCTTAGGCACTTTGCCACTAGAGCTCCCACACCTGACCTAAGTCATGGTATATTCAATAGCCTCATATGCATGTGAGAGGTAGAGAGTGAATAAGGAAGACTGAAGAACAATTGATGCCTTTGAATTGTGTTCATGAAGAATATCAAATATACTGTGGACTGACCAAAGAATGAACAAATCTGTCTTGGAGGAAGTACAGCAGGAATGCTCTTTAAAAGCAAGAACGGCAAGACTTTGTCTCTAGTACTTTGGTCATGTTACCAGGAGGGAACCAGTCCTTGGAGAAGAGTATTATGCTTGGTAGAGGGTCAGTGAAAAAGGTGAAGACCCTCAATGAGACCCTCAGTCGACACAGTGGCTGCAACAGTGGGCTCAAGTGCAGCAGTGATTGTGAGGATGGCTCAGGACTGGGCAGGCTATAGGGTCAGTATAAGTCAGAGCTGGCTTGATGGCAGCCAACAACATGTGCCAGGTCCTGTGCTTGTCCTGAAGATAACCGGTGAGCAAAAATAGAAACCATTCCTATTTTCATTATTTGTTTATATACAGGAATATAAGTAGGGACTTTGTTCACTGTTATATCTCTAGTACCAGGTACATAGTAAGCAATCAATAAGTATTTGTAAAATTTAGAGTGTGATAGACATTATCCAAAACATAATACTAATGATTATAAACCACAAGTTGTGCTATGGAAGAAGGGAGCATGACTCTCTGACAGCATTTAACAAATGACTAAAGGCAGGGAAAAATTTTCTGCTCATCAAATGGCCAAACACTGACGCTTTAAGGTATCTGACTTGGGATACTCTCCTCCTGCCTCTCTGCATAATTAACTCCTTATCCTGCAACCTGAGCTGGGATGTTACCTTCTCTGAGGGGCCTTTTCTACTACCCCAGCTTAGGCAGACACATATTTGCCTACCCTATAACTTGATCATCCTGCCAAAACTATCGTTTTTGTTCTCTTATCTTTCCCCAAGAGATAGAGATCTTGTCTGTCTTGTCAGACTTAAGGTCCCCAATGCCCAGTTTTTTGCCTTAGTATTAACACTCATGTATAAATGTTTAAGGAATCTCCAGGTAGTGAAAACCGTTAAATGCATGACTACTAACTTAAAGGTGGGTGGGTCAAACCTACCCAGAGGTACCTAGGAAAAAAGGCCTGGCAGTCTGCTTCTGAAAGATTATAGCCTTCACAACCTTGTGGAGTGCAGTTCTCTGCACACATGGGGTCA